CAGGAGACCATGCAAGGTTTGAGGCAGTGTAAAACTGTTGGCTGGAGTCTTACAACTTTTGCATATATCCCCAAACTTCTTCCATCTTTGTATGGCTGAAAATAGAGCTATTTTTCATGCTTACACTTCTTATGTCAGTACACGTGAAGAATGGAATGTAATGTAGGAGGGACACATCATCTTGTTCTTTTACTCAATTTTAGTTGAATTGATTTTGCATCTGAGGAAAGTTGCATTTGTAGTCCTCCCCCCCATTCCAGGTTTACTTGTGTTACATTCACTTCCAACCCTTTCCCCCACATTCTTTTAAAGAGTACCGTGTATTTAATTCTCTAAACCCTTAGCAATAATCCAGGCATGAGGTGGTTTAAGCAAGTTCAAGAAAGGCACTGTAATTTCAGCAATCATATAGCTTTTCTCATTCTAATGAAGTTCCTGCCTCCATATTATATTAAAGCAGTTTTCTGTGGCTTCTTTACTGTTGCTCTACAACACTCTTCATGAAAGAGCAATGATGGATTGCAGGATTTTCTTCTTGATCCTTTTTTTCTGTTCCTATGATCTCTTCTCATCTTAGCTCTAGGTTTTAGACCTGTTGTACTGAATGCAAAATGCCTGGCAAGAACAGGACTGACGGAGAGACTGACAAGATAGACTTCTGATCAATAATGATACAAGAAAAAAAAAAAAGGTAGCCAAACCCGAAGAGTCACAGAAGAGGGACCGATGCAGGAATGCAAAAGAAAAATGGGGTGAACTCCATTTTAAGAGCCCAGTTTGGAGATCCTAGTGTTAGTGGTCGCAATCGCGAATAGAACTTATCTACACACAGCAGATAAGCAGGCACTTCTTTATTCCAGCGCTGGGGAACACGGGGGATAACTCCGCCAAAGACGTGTTCATCGACAGATACAAAACACCACGTATTTATACACTTTTTCAGCAGAGCCATGGTTACAGAGTCATGGTTACATAGTCATTTTAACTCAAGATCCATAATCAGTACCCATTGTTTTGATTCAGAGTCCATAACGATTCCTATAGTGATTAAGGGAAACACCATACTAGTTAATAACGATTCCTATAGTGATTAAAGCAAACACCATACTAGTTGTCTGTTCCTAAGGGCCTCAACATACCTTATATTGTCACAGCTGCTATAACTCCATTTTAAATCAAAGTCATTTTTTCTTTTTTAAACTAAAATTGAAATAATATTCTAGGATCCAAACTGTTTTATTAAGGTAACTGCAACACCAGGGTTATCAGAAATAATCAAGTGCTGGAACTGGAAGCCATGTCGGTGTGAAACAGTACTGAAATTAATTGTCCTGGTGTGATGCAGAGGTGAGTTGATGTCCCTATGGTGTTTATGAGCTAGTTCATGCTGCACTTCGCTTTGTTTCTTGGAATAGATTGAGGTCCTCTGCAGCATATGGCAAAAGGGCAGTCACAGGATTGTTCTCTCTTCTGTATATATTGGGCTGTTAAAAAACAGGAAATACCAACACTACATTTATTCTACTCCTCTGGCCCTAGTGGCAGTGTGACCTAGACTTCTGGTATGATTAAGCCCCATGTACTCTCCTCTCCTGTTGAGGACTCTCAAAGCCGCAGTGTGGTGATTCCCAACTGGGCAAAGGCAAATGAGCTGAAACTAATTTAAGAACAGAGGTCCCTTCATTTTTCTTGATGTTCTAGTGCTCTATTTACATTATCACTCATAGTTTTCAGAGCTAATGGCCTGCTTGAGATGCTGAATTAATACAGTCATACAATCAAGCTTAGCTTCACTACTAGATCTGGGAGTTTTACTTTTCCATTCTAACCTGCGCTTTGCAACCACAGATTTGGTGTGCCAAAGAGGCAGACTGAAAGACTCTTCTGAGCATATAAGACTTCAGTCCTCTGTACTGTGTTGTGATCAGCTGTGCTTTGGATCCTTAGAGCCAAATGCCAAGTAGCTACCACAAGCTTGCAAACTGGGTCAACGGGTGGTTCTGCTGCAGTGTTTTCTTCACACTTAGGCATTTCACACCTGATATCATGAAGAGTTCCTCAACATAGCCTCATTTGACACATCCTCAGGCACCCAGGAACATCTGGAAAGTTACTGATTTCAGCCAATTTACAGCCCACTCTCAAGTCTTGGAATTCTTGTTTGCATAGCCCTGGGCTTCTGCCATGTCAAAGCAAACAGGCATCCATTGACACAAACAGATACAAACAGGTTAAGTGGAGGTACAAAGCAGTGAGGTGGGGGTGTTCACATGTTCACAATTAACTAGTGGCTTTTAATGGAAGCTGAGTCATGGATTCCCCCTGTGAGTTTGAAACTGCCAACAAAACAAAATGACCTTAGTTGACATTTAATGCAGTACTACAGTTTGTATCAGTGCAGTGCCCAGGAACCTTGACTATGGCTCAGATGCCCCTTGCTCTAGGCATGGGAAAACACAGAATAAGATGGTCATTGCCCCAAGTGTAACTTCCGAGTGAAACAGAGATTCCTTGATGTCATCGATATCAGAACATCCTCCAAAAAGCACAAAAACAATCTCATTTGAGATATATACTTGTTTTTGCTGATGTTGGAAAAAAAAAGTTGTTTGGATTCCATACAACAAAGTCTCTGATAATGAGTCACTTTTATACAGAGAAAGTCAAGATGCTTTATGTAATTGCTCAGTGTCAGAAGAAAGCAATTTTAACAGAGTTTAGCAAGTTATGGATGTAAACCCATCCTTTTCTGGCATCTCCTGAAAGTAGTATATTACCTTGCTAACAGGCAAAATGCCATCCAAGCAGATGAGCTAAGGTAGGCAGCCAAAATACCATGGCCATGTTCATCAGGTATGTTTCTTGAGGTCAAAGCTCCTGGAAGGCAGAGTGACAGAGGTGCTGTGTCCTGAGCTTCTGAGGCTGCCACCTGCTAATTGGATAGACGGTCTCTGCCTTAGTGCTGATCAGAGTTAATGCCTGAGATCAAAAGTTAGCTCAATGAAGATGAATTTGCAGTATAACAGTATTCATTGTGTAATTAAGTTACTGAAATACGGAATAAGCAAAGCATTAATACTATGTAGGTGTGCAGAAGTGTAGTGAGGCAAGATCCTGAGGCACTCACTGAATCGGAACAGTTTGCGACACAGTTTTAAAAAAATTAAGGATCCTAATTTCTGTTTGAAGTTGTAGTCTATAAAGAGCAGAGGAGGGAAGACTCCTGCAGCTAAATTGTATCCTTGCTAGCTATTCCAAATATATTAAAAATCCTCCCTCAAATTCTCTAGAAATGGTCACACGTCCCTAGAACATACCACAGGACTTTCTGATTGCTGAGTGATCTTTTCAGAGATCCTGAGGGAATTAGCAGATCACCATAAGAGCATGTAAAGACTGTTCCTATAGAGAGGCAAAACTGGCTCTGCCTGCCATTTTCTGTGATATAGAGGACTCTGTAACAGAATCAGAGAAATTCCTGCCAATGAGGTAGGAATGGTGAAACTCAGTGTTGGGGATACTATTCTTCCCCGTTAAGCTTCATCCTCATTCTTCATCAGTAGTGAAAATTTATTGTCTTACAGCTGAGTACCACTTATCTTCATCCTGAAGACCTCCTTCACTCAATAAGGGTGAGAACTTAGTAATCATTTAAGCTGCTGAAACACCTATGTTACGGTAATTTTTCATTTTACAGTAGTTAGAAAAGTTTTTCCACTTCCCTTTCTTTCTATTCAGATACTTTGGGGTATGTGGCAAGTGAAGGCTTTTGAAACATAGTGCAATCTAACCTGGAAATATGGGGTAGCTTTATTTAAAGCAGGTGTGTGCACACACATCTCATACACATACAACCTCCTTTTTGCCCATATGAGAAGAAATGGTTTCCCAGAATTTGCAGCCAGTGCACCCCTTTGCCTGCATTATACATTCAGGGCATCAAACTGTGATCAACAGGATAAGGTCAGAGAGGCCAGAAATTTGCTTTCTTCTGCAGAATGTCCTGGTGGGATGTAAGACAACAAAGAAACACTCTTGGAGACTGCTGAGGAGGTCTATGTTATACAGGTAGCACACACCATGCTCTGAAAGGCAGCAGAATGCTTATGCAGAGGATGAGAACCACCTTTTAAGATAGATATAGCCAAGATAGGATCTACCAGGAGCATTTTGTGGTGTGTATGTGTTCTGCTACTTCCTTAGCAGTACTGCATGTAGCTTCAGTGCTCTGACCCTTGATGGCCTGTGAGCATGAGGCTTCCACAATGAGTTTTTAGCCTCATCTACTTCTTCCTGATCAGGTGGCCTATAACAGACACCCACCATAATGTCACCCACCATGGGCTGCCTTCTAACCCTGACCCATAAGCTGTCAGCTGGCTTGTCATCTGTCCCCAAGCACAGCTCCCTGCACCCTACCTAGTTGCTGTCTCACATCAAGGGCAGCTCTCCCTCCTTGCTGTGCTGGCCTGTCCTTCCCAAAGAGCTGGACTTCTTCCCTCCCCAGAGCTAGTGCACCACACTGCTGTGAGCCCAGCGAGAGCCCAGCCCAGTCCAGGACCTCTAATGCCATTGTTTGTCCTATGCTGTGTGCCACAGTGTCCAGGCACTTACTGGGAACCATTATGAACCAGCACTAAGGTGTTTCACCCTGCCCAGAAGCCCTTGCCCCAGTGGCCAAGCAGGTGCAACGGAGGCCCACCGGCCGCATAAAGACTTTTACTTGCACAGCACTTTCCAGTCCTAACAAACCACTTGACATCGAAGGGCAGGTATCTCATCGATGGCTCAGAGACACCTGCCCCGGCACCTCGGTCACGTGCTGCACTTGGATGGCTACATGAGCCGAGATGCGTTTTGGTGGTGTGCTTCACAGGTGTACCAAGTGCACGGAATTTAGTAAAACCATGACCTGATCCCTCTGCGTAGCACTCATTAGCAGCGGGTTCAGCCTTTGGCACGGTGTGGCGCATACTAACAACTTGTTTTCATCATTGCAGGGCATGGGAACTGCCTCCGCACACACCGGTGTCCTCAGCCATTCCTCCTGTGGCATTTGGAGCCTTCACCGCAGCAGCTTTTCCTGGCATGCTGGCTGCCAGCACCCAGGCTCTGGGGCAGCCCTCAAGGGACCTGCAGAAGTTTTGGTAGGATACAGGTGATTGCATTTACAAGGGAACAAAAAAGGAAACTGCCACTTATACAGAAAACTGTGTACAGGCTTGGTAATAAGTAACTTTTTGTATTTTTTTTTCTTAGTGTGCAGACACTTTTTCCATAACTTTTGTCTTGAGGTGATACAGGCTGCCTACTATGCTGGCAGTATGATGCTATGGAGCTGGAAGCCTCTCCTTTTCACAGCCCCACACTAAATTCAGGGCAAATAGGCATGGAAAAGAATAAATCATAGAATCATAGAATGGTTTGGGTTGGAAGGGACCTTAAAGATCATCTAGTTCCAGGTCACCTACCATGGGCAAGGACACTTCCCACTAAAAATCTGTAAAGGGAGAAAGTTCTGTCATTCTGTTTTCCCTTCCCCCGTTTTCCACCTGCTCTTTTCCTCATGTCTCTTGCCCTAGTACAAATGCAGGTAAAAAACTCATAGTCTCAACTAGCAAAATCAAGAGAGACACACTCTTGGTCAGTACATATCAACTCTAATTTCTCTTTTATCTCTCCTCATAATCCAGACAAGTCTTGCATGTTTTCTGCTCCATTCTTTGGGTCAAGAACACACTGCTTAATAGCCAATTATTTCATACCCTAAGGAAGTTTTGGAAAGTAAGTTCATGGGACAAGTCAACTTGTTTCAGGAAATTAGACTAATATTCAGTAGGTGAGATGTTTCCCTTTGCTCTCCTTAATACTGTCCCATCCTGGTACATGGCTGAATTTATTGCTATAATAGGTATGGTTCAGATAGAGCATAATAGTTTCCCAGGATTTTTTTTTCTTCTTCTTCACAAAAAGTGAAGGTTTAGCCAGGGCATCTTGGCAAAACTCCAGTTAGGTAATTAAATTCTGCTTACTGAAAATTCCTCTTTTAAAATCTGTCTCAGAATACAGTCTGCTTTTCCTGTGAGTGCTTTAAAAGGACTGATTCTTTTTAAATTCACAGCTATCCAAATTCTGAAGCCTGCTGAAATTATCCTTCACCACCTAAAACAGAATGTGCAGTTCCACCTGAGGTATCTAAAGGTACATTTTTGCATGCTGAATTGTTGTTGTCTGAATTTTTGTTTAGATACAATTCATGTAGACTCACCCTGTGTACCAAATAGGCCAGATTCTGCTGACTAGCAAAAATAAACAAAATTATTTGTATGGGAAAAGCAAGCACTATTTAAAACTGTATTTTTATTAACATGTAGAGTAGGCCATGAGTAAATTCAATTTGTGCATCGAGGGCCATTTTGCATATGCAAAAATAAAACTGTGGAAAAAAAAAAGGCTGAGAGATAATCTGAGGTGTGCAGTCTGGAAAGCAATCCAGAACAGATGATCCACAGTATAAATTACTGCAATTTATTTTTTTAATTTACTTGTGCTACTTTAATTTTTTATTGTTTATTCATTTGATAGATGGCATTTAATTTCAGTATGAGAGTTTCATGATGAGCATTTGATGCTAATGTTTGGAATTTATTTCTGGGCAGAAAGCCAATGTGCCACAGTCATGTTCCGCTTATGCCCTCCAAGCAGTGTCTAAGTGGCCTTCTGTTGCCCTTGGGGTATGTTTTACACAGGAAACTTAAAGCCTAATGTAGGCCTGCAGCTCACTTGTCGAAGCAAGGGAAAGATGGCTTTTCCTCTCTTCTGTTCTCTTCAGCAAGAAAATCAAATAATTGGATTACCGGCCCTTCAGTTGTGCTCTGCACAAATGGTTCAAAATCCCATTGTATTGGACTTCTGAGATGAAATGTAAATTGATAAAGAAAACAAATATCTTGAATTGGTCTAATATGTCGATAGTATGCTATTATCTGATTAAATGGAATGGCTATGACTAGTCTTCTAAACAGCTAAATATACAGAAGACATCTGCTGCTAGAGTGGCCACATGAAAAAATAAACAAAACAAAACAAAAAAGGTCTACCCACAGGAGCCTATTAGAGGCATAAATTAATGCAGGTTTTCCTTCCTTGCTTATTTTTTATTTCTGGAATAGAAAATCAAAGCGAACAGATTAATCCATTGCAGGGTTAATATTAAAATTACCCAAGGATCTGTGCAGCACATGAAATATTGGGACTGACAGAGTAGAACCTTGACTGCTTTGTTCTACTTATACCTTCATATGCACTGACTTGAACTTTGAATTTCCTGCTCTGCTGTTTTTTGTTACTTGCACATATGTTTTGCGTATTTAGGGCTAAATTCTACTCATTACATTATGTTTTTAAGACTGAGAGAAGCATCCTAGCAGATTGTAGACTACTTCATTATTGTCATTATTCTACATACTCACACATGCATATCATTATCCAAAATATTTTGAGGCAAATCATTCAATTGTGCAAAATAAATACATGTGAAAGTGTAGCTGAATTAAATCCCTATATTTTACACAGTGGAGAAAACTTCTTCAACAGCTGAAGATCTGATTCTTCCATTTTATGTTAGACTGGTTTCTCTACATGTTTCTTGTAAAAATTATTATCTTATCGTCCTTTTGTATTTATGTGTCTTCAGAGCAATAAATAGCTATTGAAATGAGGCTGTCATGACTGTATGTACATTTATTTCACTCCACAAATTTGATGAGTACAGTCTGTACAGGGAGCAGAGGTCTGTAACCGTGGATGATGTAAGTTGGTAGCTCCTGTGTTCAAGTAAATTTTTGCTGGCTAAATATCTGAGTAGCAATTCTAATGACTTGGGTTTAAAATAGAGCCTCCAAAACTGACTAATAAAATACATACTGAATTAGAAGCTAGGATATAGTTTTGTAGCTTGTTGAGATTCTAGCACATATTTGTATTAATAAGATAATAAATGCATAATGGATGTGACACCCACCTGAACATTTTTGAGTTAAAAAAAAAGATTGATAGGCAATGCATTCCATTAGTTCTCTCTTTTACAACTAATAAACTTCCAGTTCATTAAGTTATTACATGCCATTCCTCATCTCACAAATAGAACCCATAATTCCGTTTTTCTCAGAGCTGCACATTCTTTAAGTCTACAGACTAAATCACCAGAGCACATTTTGTCAATAAAGCTTCTGTTTGGTGGGGCAAGGAGGGGGCAGTTAAGTAAAGTAATATGAAATGCAAGCCATTTTTTGTGTCAGAGGTCATTTATTTGCTTCAATATTGCTTTTATTCTATTTATACATTCACTAAACTATAATTATTATGGAGAGTCCATGGTTAATCACTGCATTATGTTTAAAATGTTTTACATTTTGTTGCAGACTCTTACACTTGTGAATCTTTAGAGTTATCTTGAACAGTGAACTCTGCTTTTGCAGTGAATCCCTGACAAAGTATTAGTTCCATTGTGTATTTACTGAAAGATAAAGACTTTCTTTTGCGAGCAGGGGGAAAGCCACAGAGGCAAACAAAAATCATCCATATTCTGCAGTCCTAAACCAAAAGACTTGGCACTTCCTGAGCCAGAACTGCCCGGTGCAGATATGGTCAGCCAGTGAAGCCTTCTGCGTGGTAAGTTATACGGGACTAATTTGTGTCCTATACCAAATTTCCAACACTGCTCTTCTCACCAGGGCATGAGGTGGGATTACTGTGCTCTGTGTTGAGTATAATATATAGTATCTATTTGTAAAAAATACAACCTAGTGATAAAATGCTTGCCTAGGGAGTAGGATAAAGCAGTCTGGGCTCTTCACAGCTTGCAGTGATTTAAAACCATTTCTGCTTGTCCAGAAAAAACAGGCAGTCATGATGGGGAAAAAAATGCAGTCTACCCTTTGTTCTCCCAGCCCTGGCATTTATGTGGATGCTCAGCTGAGGGTCCCAACAGGTTGTAACTAACATCCCCCATGAGACAGCACTCAGTGAGGAGGGAGTGGGGTGAGAGCCAGGATGGGGAGCAAGGCAAAGGGGCCACGCTGCAGCATGTTTAGATCTATTCTGGGGTTAGGAGGCACAGACCCTGGAAAGCATTGCAGTGCCTTCCTTTTGGAGGAGTTGCCACAACCCTCGGGAGGCTCAGAGCCTGCCTTCTTCCCTCATCTCCCCCTCTTCTGATTAAAACCTGCCTGCTTTTTTCCTTTCAGTGGAAATTAGCAGGTGTGAGCAGTCATAATTTTCACCAGAGGGAGAAGTCATTCCCTGCCCCAAACCGTCCCAGGGGGTAGATGGTTTAGTTTGCTGCAAGCATGCTGGCAATTAGCATCACCTATATAGGGAATAGGTGCTAAATCAGTGTTAGTCTGAGTAAGGAGGGGAATGAAAAAAGATTACCACTGAACAGGAATATTCAAGCCTGAACAATACTGGGGAGGGTGTGAATAAACTTTTAACTGGTCTGGATCTGTCCAGAACAATATCATATTGTATTACAGTACTTTAATATCAGCTGGTAATTCTTCTCATTAAATCTGTAGTTAACAAATGCATAGGTGATTGTTGTCAACTGAAGAAATAATAGTGTCACTGGAAAGCACTTTTTAAAGATGAAGAGTTGTAAAATGGTGCTATGACAACATTATAGTGGGGTTACTGTTCATGACAATTACAAACTCTGAATTATAAATGATAAAACAATGGAAAATATAATGGGGGGGAGGGGGGTGTTTAAATGGAAAAAGTAATAAATGAAAGGGGAGCAAAAAAGTTTCTAACCGATCCTTTTCCCAGAGATCACTCAGAGCAAATCTCATGCAGAACAACCTATCTTTGATGAAGACACAATCAGCATATGTTCAGTCTCTGCAACAGTCCCTCACAGCTACAGCAGAGTATATGTCTGTACGTCCATATTGTTGATCACTCTTGGGCTTATCTCCATCCAGACTTAAAACCCCACTTAGAATATATCCTGACTTCCCAGTAGGGGAATCATGCTGCCTAGGCTATATTATTGCCTTAAGCTAACCTCTGAAATGACAGTTCTCTGGACCATCATGGAAGAGAATTGATAATGCTTTGCCTTATCAAAACATTTACAAAATCAGATTTACCTAGATATTAAGATAGTGAAATATTCAGTATTCTAATGGAGTTTCTTAGTGTACTGTCACACTTTACCGTGACTGTAGCCTATGTAATTTGATTAACCATTTATAACTTTAGTACATAATATATGAAAATTACCAGTGAACTGAAAACACTGGAAATGTTCACAAGAACCAGAAAAGCAAACTGGGATCTGTGGGCCTTGTGTCTGCAGAAATTAGTAACTGCTGGCAGCTGAAGTCTATCCTCCAAACTTCTCGCAAAGACTAACTTCATTTACATGAGCTGAGACCTCTTGAGAGGCCCTTACACTGAATTTATCCAGTACTTTTGAGCTCTTGCTTTATGTTAAAAAAAAAAAAAAAACAAACAAACCTGTTATCTTTAAGCTTGTTGCTTTTTCACCAGGGAAAGTTTTAATGAGAAAATTTAACTCATCGATGTTATTTTTTCTACTAATTAGGTGAAAGTGGTTTTAACTCTGTGAGCAGTTTCTGTTATCTGGTACTCCTGAACTAGTAGCTAGCATCTATGAATAGTGCTATCCTGCTTTAGTTTTTTATTAAAAAAAATCTAAGAAGTTATTGATTACTATAGCTTTTATATTCTATGGGCACAGTTAAAATAGACAATTAAGAGCTGCATGTTGTTTCTGTAATTTCAGAATTGGAATAGATATGCTCAGCCTTTCTGCTGTAACGTATGCTGCTTCAGTAGCAAGACAATTTATGATTCAAAATAATACATTTGATAACATAAGTGAGTGGTCTAGGTCATATCTAGTAACTTAAGCATGTATTCTTGCTCAATGCGGTAAGAAAAAACAAAAGCTAGTTAAGAGATCAGCAGTCATTCCTGGCACGCTGGCTATTTTTACATGCTGGCTGTTTTTATTTTACAGGCATGAGCTGATATGGTAGTCACTTTTTTTCTGACTGACTGAATAAACTACAGGTCCTGGATCAGTTCTTGGTATGCTGTAATTCTCGGCCATAAGACCTATGAGATAAGTTTAAACAGAATGATCCACTACTCAGAGGAGCGATGGCTTCTTTTATAGCCCTCTTGTTCTTGTAAGCAGTAAACTGTTGATAGAGACTATGAGGGCAAGGGCATGTTCACCACATTCTGGTCATATTTTCCTGAATCATGCATGTACTTTTGTCTGTGCTGTGGGACTCTTCACACCTCACACATTCAGGACCAACTAGGTCCTGTTGTTAGTAGTGGTGTTTTTTCTCCTGTCTATATTTTGATATTAAAACTCTGATAATTTCTAGTAATATTTGTGCCTCTCTTTAAAAAAAATATAAATATGTATTTCATACTCAATCCCATTTTTAAAGATGTCACTGTTCTTCCTAGTAGTTCTTGCTCTATCTGCCCCAAAAATGTTTTTCTTCTTCCAGACAGACCCTACTCTCCCTTCCTCCTATTTACTCAGTCACCTTGGAAATGTAGAGCATTACTGTACAAAGCACTGCTTTTTTATTGACTCTATGACTTTGACAATTGCACTTATTGTAATTTTTCTTCTCTCCTGTCCATCTTGAAAGATCCAACAATATTATTTTATCCATTATGTGACCTTCTTACTTGACATTCCTTTGTCTTTGCTCTAAATCCAGACATGAAGAACTGTACAAGGCTGGGATATATGGGAGAGGGCGGGATTGTTCCACATAGATCACAAAGCAGATGTGTCTGGGAAGTTCTGGTCTGTAACACTGCAAAGACAATAAAAGACAATTACATTGCATGTCTGTCTAAATGCTAAAGAATAACACAAATGCTCATGACTTCATGTCTAAAAAAATCTTTCATTTATAAAGGCAAGGCAGCACATAATATTTTTTTATACTCAAGCTGGATATTATGATTGAAAAACCTCTACCCTCAATATCACCAGTCCCCACCCCAGACTTTACTGGGTTTATGCTAGTGAATAGTATGCTTTATAATTTTGTGTGACAAACTGTTTTCATGTATTTAAATATAATGTCTGTCTAGGTACTGATTTTATTTTCCTGTTTAATTTATTCTCCAGATTCTCTGGCCTTCAGTCAATGCACTGGCTGATTAAATTATTATCCCAGTAATGAGATTTGACAGAATCTATGCCAGTTACCTATGTGACCTGCTAAGTAGGTTAATTGGCAACCCTGAATAATTATCAGCCACCTCATCTCTCTGACTGAGAGTTTGACAGTAAATGACACATAAAGATGCTGAAAAAGACACACAGTTTTTAATTTCAACTTCTGAATTGTTTCAAAGAAATCTTTTAACTAGGAGCTTATTAATACAATGCAGCAATTAAAAAATATCTTGTGAACATTTTGGTTGTATAAAAATATAGATGTTTGTTATTGTGCATCATCATGGCTTCCTGGGAGAAAAAGAAGTCTGTGGCGTATTAGATAAACAGGTCCCTCTATTGTGCAAATTGCTTATGTAAGTGAATTGTTGCATCCTCAGAGAGAAAGCTCAGAAGCAAGGAAAATTCAGGAAGTCCAAGTGATATTTGTGGTGACATTTCAAAAATCATATTTTAATGCTTTTCTGTGAAACCTTGAGAACTAGAAATTAACTATATTGTTCAATGAAGGCTGTGATTCTTCTGTTCCCATTTCTCAGGAAACAAAGTTAAGAAAAATAAATATTATGGTAAGTGGTGACACTGACATGTATTGTGTATCTATCTATCTTTTCTACCTTGTTCATTTCTGAAAATCCAAAATGATATTTCCTTCTGCCCTAGAAAATAGAAGATTTTAGAGAGGATGCAAAATGGACTTCTAGGGGTGAGAAGGTGGGGAAAAATATCTAAGATTTAAACCGTGGTCTTTTCACAGCCCAAATTAGTGGTTCCAAACCATGGACTTAGTCAGACTTCTCCCAGAGTCATTCCTCTGCTCTGGCCAGAAACCCCACCAAAACTTGGGGTAGAAAGAACAATCAAAGAATCAACTTCTTGTTATCAGCAGTTAATGACTGCAACATAAAGTGTCTTCACAGAGACACTGCGGAGAGCCTCGCTTGTGCTCCCAAGGTGAGGAGTTGCTGCTCTGCCTCGGCCCTGGCACGCCTGTGGCACAGCTGCCTGCCCCGAGTCAGTCCTCCACTGTGGCCCTGCAGCTTGCGAGCACGGGCACCTCTAACTGAACCACACAAATAAGTATTATGTGCATAGTAATTTTGGCCAAGTTAAATCTCGTTATCATGTGCCACCTCTCACAAACTATTAACACAGTTTTCCAGAAATCAAAAGTTTCCAGAGTCCTGATGTCACATCCCTTCTGGCTGCCATCATCATTCCTCTTCCTTCAGCCTCTGTGTATGCAAAAATATGTTTACATTTCTAAGTGCATGCCATAATGGAGAGCAGAGTGTGCACTTTTCTATGTCCAGAAAAAGGATTCTTCAAGTAGATACCCAAACCAAAGCCATTTGATCTTTCAATTAGTTGGCTTACGGGCTTCTGAGTGGTGTGATTCAGGAGAGGATCCCGGCTATGATGAAATCACTTAAAACTGAGCTTGAGCAAGTGAGCAGAGCTCAGATTTTGAGATTGTGACTCACATGTTAAAACCAAACACGTGTTCAAGTGTTTTTCTATATTGTGGCCATGTTGAACTATAATGACCTAAATGGATTGACTCCCCAGACAAATTTACCCTTCCCTTTCCTCCTACTCACACATACATTTACACCTCAACCAATCACTTATGTCTCTAATTCCTATATGCTACATATTTTGAAATCTTTATGGCTTGTTTAATCTCTTCAAGGTATGTCTCTATTTCCTGTCTTTATTTCCTCTGTGATTCATCAACAGGGATTTTTACCCCTACCCAAAGGATTTCAATTTTACTGTACAAATTTAACCAAAGCAAAATTGTTAAGGCTTGTTAAAGAAGCTGTGCTGTCTCTTTGTGCTCCTTCATGTAGCCCCTCTCCCCGTGAGAAGATGAAGAAGGTGCTGAAGATGCTCATCAGGTTCAACTACTGTCTACAGATGCCAAAAATAATATCTTTCAGCTCTCTGCCTCTGGATTTTTTTTGCCACTATGTGGTATGTCTAAAATTATAGGCATTTAGACGTGAGGTAGCAGAAGAGAAAAAAAGTAAAAAATAAGAGGTATTATAGTAAAATAGCAAAGCACTGATGTCTTGGTGATAGTTATAGGGTCTTTTATTCCTTAAAAATAGCACAGCTTTATAAAGTTTTTATCATACCTGATAGAAAATTAAGGGCTGATGATATTTTACAACTCATTACTCATTGCTTGTTGATTACATAAGTGGTTTTGAATGAAGGAGCACTGTAAGGTCCTGTCAGAAGTTAAGCTGACATGACTTCTGTCTTTCCTTTTTATTACGATAGTCAATAGCTCAGTTGTAAGGAGTAGAATTGCTCTTTGTGACTATATTAGACATTCTTTTGGGAGAGCTAGCTAAAATTTGGGAGCAGAAAAGCATTTCTGGAAAAAAAAAAAAAAAAAACATCCCAGCATGCCAGACAAATCAAAAATTAGAGGACAGAGCAGAATCTGAAATGTTGGGGTTGGATTAGAACCTAAACCAAGACGCTATTGCAAAGCCTCTATTTTTAGGGGTGGCTATATCAAAATCAATGTTGCCTTCTTCCTTTATTTGAAATCTTGCATGCATTTGTGCAAGCAAATCAATTCTACAATTATATTTATTTTCTTGAGCTAAAATCTTCTATTTAGTGTGTGTGATCTGTGTACCATAACTCTATATAAATTAACAGAAGGTGTATTGTATGTGATAATCCTTGCCTGTGGTCTATATTACTGGCATTTATGAATGCAATGAAATATCTATGCAAATTCTTCAATGCATAAATTATGTACAGCTCGTATATATAAGTTCTCTACAAGCTGTTCACCATTACCTCAGCAATAATTCTTTTATTTTCTGGAAAATGTATACAAGCAGACATTGATCATCAAAGTGTGAAAGCATAAACTCTGGGAATTAATGATGCTTTGCATTTATGCAGTTTCTCATCCAAGATCTTCTTACTGTATCCATTATATCCAATCTTACATTATTTAAACATACTACACCTTTGTGAAAGGTAGATGTTTGTATACCCATTTTTCAGATAAAGCTGCAAGGTCAAATGCAAATTTTATCTGTCTGTGCTCTGCATTGGGCATGAATCTCATGATCCTGCTCTTGGCTGTAGCACTTGGGCTGATTCTGACTGTTAGGAAAGTGGGGCTTAATAGCACAGACATAGTTATATGGTTCCTGTTCAGAATTAGTTTGTGTTGGCCATTTCAGAGTGTGCCTAGTGAAAGCCCATCTCTTTGTGCACCTGCCTATATAGACTTCCCTTAAATTTGAAAATGAGATTTCTGTATATTTGGACTTTTAGAGTGGAGTTGATGCAGTATTAGCTTGCTATAAAGCTGCTTAAAAATCTGAACTTAGTCTCTAGAGTTAAACCATAGAGCACACCATCCCCGGGTCCCTGTCTTCTGCAGGTTTTAGAAAGAAAAAACATTGCTAATATTCTCATTAAAAAACATTGCTAATATTTTGATTAACTGTTCTGTAGAGCAAAACCACTGCAATCCCAGTAAGCTCATTATGCTAGAAACAGGTAATTAATATTAACAGATAATTATAGCTCATTATGCTACTACGGGTAACATTTCCTAACTCCTAATGCTTCCAATTTTTTGACTTTTGCTTGTGGTACCAGTCTTCTCTTATCTATCTCATAAGTACTCTCTGAGTGTTATTTATGAGATAATATCCAGGTATGATGTTTAAACTCTTAGTAGGAAAGAAAAAACACAATGCACTTACTCAGCAATTCCTTTTGAATAGTGCTTTGACGATCTGATTTTCCATCCCTTGATATGACCAAATTATTACTTCAGCAAAACTGGTAGCCTGCAGTGCCAACACACACACAGCTGAAGTGATAATAATAGTTCATTTTACACATACATACACATATCCTCCAAATTGTGCTCCTAAGAATAGAGGTTAGAAAACCTGTTTGATAGCATGAGTATGAAAGGTTTTTTTTGTACAATCAATATACACACACTGTTTGATGCTTCGTATTGACTGAATCTACTTTTACAGGAGATAATGTATATTTAAGTATATAAGATAAATATATTAAATACTAGCCCTGTGTTTCCAATAAAAGTACTGTATTAATACATGTGTTTTCCATTACTTTTTTGTGTACATTTTAATGTCTCAGTGCTAACAGCAAAATTCTTCCCGAGTTAGAAAAAATAAATTCACCCTTATAAGTAAAGCATTCCCTATAGAACCCGTGAAATTCAAGCGCTAGATTTGTATGCATTGTAAAATATGGTTCACTGCAGCATGATAAAATGTTTAGTAAAAGATAGGTAGAATACACGAATGCTTGAAGGACTGGTGACTAACTTAAGTGTGTGCTTGTAATTATGGCTTAGGTAAGTTGTAAAGGTAGAAAAAAAAATAAGTGGTTTATAGATATATGATAATGAAGTTCAGTAATGAAGCATTCATTGCAGGCAGAGGAGGTCAGAAATGTAATGACCACATCTTTTCCTGATAGAATGCTTTATAAACATTTCTGAGAGTATGTCATGTCATGGAATGTTTTCACCAGGGTACTGAAAGTGCAGAAACTCTCTTCATAAGGAAAAACTGCATGGGCAATCACCTTTGTTTCCCTACAGCTTGCCCTCTAAGACTAAAATTTGCTTAAGAAAAAGTCCAATAAGAAGGTAAATTTGGTGTCTGAGTCCCACTGGGCTGGGTTCCCGTAGATTCCTCTGCCCCTCACTGGATACCAGCTATTTCCCCTAGAGCTGTCTGCATTTTGTGGGCCCACTTTTATGAGGCAGATCAGTGAAGAGTAACCAGTCAGAAAGATCAATTAACACACTAAAAGTAATTTCATAAAATAAAATAGATCCATTTGCACCACCGAAGGAAGTATTAAAATCTGATGGGCAATCTCACAGTTTGGGCTTGAAAAAAAAAGATTTTAAGAGTTCTGATACTAAGCAACAATGATTTAATTAAATAACAATAAACAATTGCTATCTCTTGTTTGAAGTTTAGGAATCCCTCTGGTTCCCGAGAATACAAACCAAGCCCAGTAGCTAACAAGGTACCTTTACTATGCTTTACATATACATAAACAATCTGGACTGAACAGGGCACTGTCTAGCTTTTATATAACAACTGACAAAAGTAGAAAGTAGCTATAACCCTAATGAATATGTTTTGACTACAATCAGTTTCTTCTTGTGAAGTCTGCATGACAGATGAAGATCAAATTACTGATACATGTAACAACCTGAGGAGCAAAGAGTACCATTAAAATATTTTGCCAATGTTCATAAACCAATGCTTCCCAGAACTCCATCTCTGTCAAGTAAATAATTTTTTGTTTCCTATTAAATACAGAGTGTACAGGTTACTATGGTGATCGACCGAACACAGAATGAATTCTGATTCATCATAACTGCCACATGCTAGAGGAAAAAAATATCTGAACATCATCTTGCAGTTTCAAGTTGGATCTCTGAAAAATATTTTGGGAGTATAAAATTATTTGATGATGTCCAAATAACAATGGGTGAAATATCACAAAAATTAAAGTGTTGCAGCAGTATGCCCCTTCAAATAAAAGTGTTTTAGGTCTGAAACATCTTAAAACTCATGATCACAAACCTTAGGGATTTTTTTTTCCTTTCATTCAAATCAGTGAAACATACAGAATTGTGACAACTGCAAAGACCTGTAGAGAAGTACCATGGGCCACACTGTCATGCACATAGAACTTCATCTGGGTCATGGTTACCCTTGCCTTTGCCTGTTGTGTACTTTCAGTGCCCAGGTGTTTTCAATCCCATTTACTCTGTATTTTATGCTCAAAGGGCTGAATTGTTGACATTGGGTAACCATGGAGCAGGGACTGCTTTCATGCCAGAGTTTGGGAGGTTTCATTCTTTTGATAAGAAGGACACCCATGATTTTACTAACAGTTATTTGCACTCATTGTTGACTTTGCATTCCCAAGGTTTAAGAAAGTCCTGAAGTAGCATTTACATTTGCTTTCTCAGTAAGGTACATTTTAATATATGTAATCAACACGCTAGTTTTTCAAAAACATACAATGAATTTCACACCAGAAAATTAAGTGCAGCAGTATAGTTATTTCTAGTACTTCCCAGGGTTAGTTTCTAGCAATGAAATACAACTTTGATTAATGTTGCTTTATGCAGTACAAGTCACACCTTCCTGTTGCTCTTCACAATGTCATTGAAATGGTTTAGATGCAAGGAAGGCAGCGCTAGACTAACACAACTGGGTGGACCTAGAGAAGAGCCACTTGTTGCATGGCTTTAAATTGTATGCTGTTTGTTTTTAAATATTTCAGCTTATTTTAGCCTCAGTACATCAGATCCACAAAATATCCAAATTAATTAAAACAGAAAGATCACCTAGTAGTTTATATACTGCCCTTCAGAACTCAACTCTGCCAAGTCATCAAAATCTCAATTCATATTCATTAAGACCTGAAGAGCAGCTTTGAGATATGTGTCTGCTTTTCTTACTGTGTCCAATCAGTCTAATAAGTAATAGTATCTCTTCCTGCAACCTCTGATAGGTTTCTGAAAGGGATAATAACCTTTTTAATTGTAAGGCTGAACAGGGGACTTAGTGAAAGTGATTAAAAAATTTTATGGTCCACTGTAAGATACTTCTAACTACTGCCCACTCTGGAGGTCTGGAGCCCTACACAGTTATTATCTAGTTGGTCCCTTTGTATCAGCTTTATCTCTAGTCCTAAGCTTGCTCTCCCTGGACATTCATGGTAGTGAATTTAAGTCACACAAAACTCCGGCAGTGTGAAAATCTTCTACAGTCTTTAGAGTTCAAAAGGACATGCCTGTGGGTTCACAAATATAAGACTTTCTCTCAAAAGGATTAAAATCAGGAGATTCAAAGGCTAGCCAAATCCAGAGCCCACAACTTTTGTCATTTGGTGATGTTACAGAGGATGTTTCCTTCCCAGCTGAATCTTGCTTACCACCAGTACAAGTTCTCAGCTGAGCTAGCTCTACTTTGATACCTGTGGGAGAATTGCAGATTCTCTCTGACATGGTGTCTCCTTCATATCTCTAAGGCAGGGGTGGAAGGGAGAGAGAGACAGACAGAAAGAGATAATGTCTTTCACATTTCATATTATTGGCAGCCTTTTGTCAATTTCTTAAGGGCTTCAGGACAATTTCAGAATAAAGCTGGGATTTTTTTCTTAGAAGACAGGCTGTAATTCAAACAAAAATTAGTTCAGCAAAACGCTTTAATTTATGCCTCCGACCAGACTTTATAATCTAGTTGTATAATCCATAAGCCTAGTAATTCGTAAAGTAACAAGTATCCTTGTTATTCCCTATGTGTCCATTACAAAGTAGCTCTTATTTCATAACCTTTAACTAATTGATGTCACTCTGGTGTCA